TAAAATATATCTATTAGCCGTAACTATCTTGTTATAATTTTCAATATTAATTTTATATTGTTTACTAATGTTAAATTCTATTCTATTTTGATTTCCAAATTGCTTCAATTTTACGAAAGAATCGATGTGAGATTTACGCTTTTCGTGTCTTTTGCGAGCTTTACTCAAATTATTTAAATCGTCAAAGCCATTCTTATTCCATGCGCTAATTTCATTTGAAAATAACAGGTAATGCCAATAAAACAATTTTTGCATTTTTATGCATCCCCAAAGCCATTTTGTGTCTTGATAAATTTTATCGTGAAAATGTCGAACAAATTTTTTATTGAAGCGTTTATATTTAACTTAGGCATTGGTCTTTCTCTTTTAATAATGTATTATTTTTCATTCTACGGTCTCGAGCCAAAACTTTTTTGAAATAAATTTTCAATATCGCAATTACATTCTAAATTGCTAGCTATAATATAAGGGCTAAAATTAAAAATAAAATAAAAACTTACTTGTTAAAATAAAATGTGTGATGGATATACAATTATACATACCTGGTACAAAATATTCAATTGTATGAATATAGTTTTGTGAAGAAACGTAGATAAAAATAACATGAAATGTTCTTTATTTTTTTAAATATTAAAACAATCCACTTAGTTAAAATTGCTCTCTATCAGTGACTCATGGATGGAATCAGAGACGATCTTGGTAGGTGTGCAGCGCGTGCATGCGTGCCAAATCCCGAGGGTGCCGATACCGGTTAATGTCAAATGTCAAATTTTAAACGTTTCTCACCATAGTTGTAAAAATTTAAGTTAAACTTAATAGAAAACGAATGACGGACAATCTAACTAATTCGTTTTAGGACCAAGTGTCTTCAGTAATTTCCAAAATTTACAANAATGTCAAATGTCAAATTTTAAACGTTTCTCACCATAGTTGTAAAAATTTAAGTTAAACTTAATAGAAAACGAATGACGGACAATCTAACTAATTCGTTTTAGGACCAAGTGTCTTCAGTAATTTCCAAAATTTACAACTTTTCGGTCACTCTCGTTGAACTGGAAAAATTTCTGTCCATATTACATCTAATACAGTATTTCGAAGAAATCAGTTCCCACTGTACTCGGCTATAGATTGGTTCGGTTAAGCTTTTGTTTAAGTAATATTCCGGCTCTTTCGTCAGAGTTTTGTTTATGTCCCCAATTCCCTAATCGCTTAATTATTTAACTACTTCTTAAGAAGAAATAAGTCGAAACCAGTTACTTTGTACTCGAATATTTGTAGTTTCGGGAAAAAGTGGAAAGACAAATTTTTATGACAAACGGATACATAAATCATAAATTTAATGAAAATAAATTCTAGAGCTTTTTCTGTATCTGGTGCATCTCTCTCATTCATTAAGTTTAGTTGTAAATGACGCTGTCGAAGTAACGGTTATTTTTTTTAACATTATACAAGAATTGTACAATGTTAAAAAAAATAATGTTTTTTAAAAAAATAATGTTTACAATGTTTTTTTCTACATCCCCTTAAAGATGGGATATACGAAATCGTAATATCACTGGTTTAACATTGAAATCCGTGAGTAATATAAAATCGGAGAGCGGAATAAATATATCAAATATTTTAATGGCCTTTATAAACTCCTGTCAACTATACAGAACTATCGTAAAAACATACCAGTAAATTCTTATCGGTTGGGTTAAGTCATAAATCTACTCGTTATTCACGTAATCGGCCAAATATCTAGCGGGCGGGCGGCTAACAGCCCGGAACAGGTCCTGGATAGAATTGGATGCATTATACGTGTAGACTTCCACCGGCTAAACCAGGTGAGGTTGGTGCTCTGTAAAGCGCGTGCGGAAATCTGGCTTTTTGAATCTGACAATAGAGATTCCACTCCGCCACTAATATTCGAATATACAATAGCAATCTTATTTTTTTTTTTTCACGTGTAGTATAGAAATTTGTAATAAGATACATAATGCGGTTATAATCATGGCTGTGGAGTCGCGTAAAAATCTACCGACTCCAACTCCGACTCCGACTTTTCCTTATCATCCGACTCCGACTCCGGCTAAAACACCAAAACTCCACGACTCCGACTCCGACTCAACAGCCCTGCCAGGGCTGTGGAAGTCGCGTAAAAATCTACCTACTCCAACTCCAACTCCGACTTTTCCTTACTATCCGACTCTGACTAAAACATCAAAACTCCACGACTCCGACTCCGAAGCCCAGGTTATAATAAAATATTGTGCGATTATTTTCATATAATTATGATTAATATGTATTTATTTTTTATAAAATACAAGGGAAGCGACGCTTCCACCCCTTCTAATGACGGCACGCCACTGTATATTAGTGATGCGACAAAAGAGGCATTTGACATTAACCGGTATCGGCACCCTCGGGATTTGGAAGCCTGCGTGCATGCACGCACTGCACACCTAGCAGGACCGTCTCTGATTCCACTCGTAGGAAGCTATTTGACTAAGTAGTTAAAATTTAAAGAGTAAACAATATTTTATGCTATTTTTATGTACATTTCTTTACAAAGCTATATTTAATTATAATTTTCTTTAAAAGTGTATTCGTACAATTGAAGAATATTTTGTACCAGGCATGTATATCCACCACACATTTTATTTCACCAAGTAAGTTTTTATAATTTTATTTTTAATTTTAGCCCTTATATCGTGGCTAGCGATTCGGAATGTAATTGCGATATTGAAAATTTATTTTAAAAAAGTTTTGGATCAAGATCATATAATGAAAAAGAAAACATTATTAAAAGAGAAAGGCCAATGCCTAAGTTAAATATAAACACTTCAATAAAAAATTTGTTCGACAGTTTCGCGATAAAATGGCTCTGTAAATGCATAAAAATGCAAAAATTGTTTTGTTGGCT